TTATCTCAAATATCAAATAAATATTTGATAATTCAATTTTGGTATTTAGCATTGGAGTTGTTATTAAATGGGTTATCAAACCCCTTAACCTCCATTCGACTCCCCAAATTTAGAAACTCTCTCCTCCAATGAGGTTATTAAAGTAGAGTTATATTCTGATAACTCATCCATCCGCAAGTAAAAATACATCCCAAATAAATAATTATCAAATATTCTTCTAAATAATAGGAGCACCAGAAAAAAGAAAAACCTCAACAAAATTGAGTTTTCTTTTCTTTACGTAAAAATCTCAACAGAATAAAATTAAATTCTCTACGTTTTCAACAAATTTCCACTGGAAAAAAATCTCAAAAATATCTCAACAGATTTTTTTTTCCTCTAGAGCTTCAACAAAGTTCCACAGACAAAAAGAATCTCTATGTATATATATATATATATATATATATATATATATATCACACATCCACACATATATATTTTTATATATATATATATATATATATACATATATATATATATATATAAATAAATAAATATATATATATATATACATATATATATATATATATATATATATATATATATATGAATATATATATATGTATATATCTATATATATAGATGTAGATGTATATATATCTATATATATATATATATATATATATCTATATATATATATATATATATATATATATATATATATATATATATATATATATATATATATATATATATATATATATATATATATATATATATATATATATATATATATATTATGTAAAAATAAAATCTTTCATTAAATAGTAAGATACTGGTGACGAACCCATGTTAGTGGTCAATGACATGTCGTGATGAAGCATTACATTTGCCGTTCATAGAGAGGACCTCTCTATGATTGACTCTCGATTTTTTTTTTTCATAATCACTTTTTAGAATAAGAAGAATTTACATATTTTGAAAATTTCAAGAGAAGAGCATGGATCTTATATTGGGTATTATTAAGTTTATCTTCATGCCGATTTATCATTTTATGCATATCCATAATTAACCTTATGTGGTCCTTTTGATTTTGTTGAGATTTAAAATATTGACGAGATTCATTTTTCTGATTAAATAGGTGGCCGTGATGACTCAAAGGTGTCTATTCCAGCAGCTGTTATTCTTCGTTACATGTTCACCCCTGCAGAATTGAGGGTAATGCACGTTTCCCATTTCTTTCCGACTTTACATATATTTATGCCCAAACAAAGTTTGAAACATTAAATAAGCATTCTTTGCTGTTCATAGGCTGACGAGAATTTGCACACTGAACTAGAGGAGGATATCCGTGAAGAATGTGGAAAGCTTGGCCCGCTGGATGCTGTCAAGGTATTGTCACTTTATTATATTTAAAATATATGGCCGTAACGATTAAAAATCATTCCAAAATATAATTAATTAAAGTTCTGGATTCTTGTTTCGAGTTTCAGGTGTGTGAGAATCATCCACAGGGTGTTGTCTTGGTAAAGTACAAGGATAGAACCGATGCTCATAAATGCATCGAGTTGATGAATGGCCGATGGTAATGTTATTGTTCCATTTTACGTTGCAATATTTTTCATGCGTAATTTAATACAAGTTAGACTATTACCATATGAGAGTGTAATATTGTAATTATCTTTTACTTAAGTTTCTGTGACGCGCTAAGAAATGACTAATGAATGAAGGATGAAATTGCTGTGTGATTTATGAGATCCATTAATGAGTTACACTTTTGACCTTATATGTCATTTTCGTTTATATATTATATATTCAGGTTCGGCGGAAAGCAGATACATGCAAGCTTGGATGATGGATCGGTTAACCATGCCTTGGTGCGGGATTTGGAAGAAGAGACCGATAGATTAGAGAAGTTTGGAGCTGAACTTGAAGCCGATTGAGACTATTTAACGTTTTTATTCGGTATAAAATGTAAATCGATGTCGAGAGTTGGCTTGGTTTAGTTTTGCAGATTATTTAGATCCCCCTTTTACTGGGGAAAATTGTGTTTACTGTTATGAAGCTCTCTAATTCTTAATATGGGAGTTCTTGAGTTATAATTTTGCATTCTAATTAGTAATTATCTATTTTGTTTCCTAAATATTTTGTGAAAATTCCAATATATCATGTTTTAAGATGCCAGTCGTCGTGTGAATTTTTTTTTTTTTATAAATTCGATTTGTTATATGTAGAAGCAAGTTTGAATTCAAATCGAGTCTCGTTTGTGTTTTAGTTTTGCTAATTTATCGAGGTTCTAGTGTTCTTCGATTGATGATAAGAACAAACTTAAATTCAATTTTTGAAAATTGACAATAATCCAAACACAGTTCGATTCGGATGGATTTATTTGCACATATATTTGATTTAATCATTTCCAATTTTGTTTTGTAAAAAATAAAATATGAAAAGTGATATAAAGAACTGGGAATTACGTAACCTCCAGTTCCCTCCCCTGCAATTCCTTACATCAAACCACGACAACTGATAAAAATTCACCATTTTCAGCGACTTTAGTTATTACTACCAAAACCCCTTCAAACCCCTCCGATTTCCGTCCTCACACCACCACCGTCTCCGCCGCAATGAGCAAAGCAACGAACTTCGGCCGTCTCCTCCTCCTCCGCCACCGCCACCGCGGTCTCTCCACATCCCTAAAGTACCCCTGCAATGCTTCTCCACTCGCTTCAAATCCCCTTTTTACCTCCCAAATCACCAGAAATTACAGCTCCCGTTTCCAGAATCGAGGATCCCAAGATTTTCGTGCCGCCGACGCTGAACGGGCGCTGCAGGAACTTACTTATCAGGCTGAGAGGGAGAGAATGCGCGAGAGGGAGGAGAGGATAAAAGCCGGCCTCGATGTTGCCGACCTCGATGCGGAAGAAGAAGAGGATTACATGGGTGTGAACCCGCTCATCGAGAAATTGGAGAAGGAGAAAGCAAAAGGCGATCCGCCCAATTTGAACCGGTACGAGGAGGCAACGGATTCCGAGTCCGAGGTTGATGAAGTTGAGGAGGAAAAGCAGATGGCTAAGTACGAAAAGATATCCGAGAAGCACGAGGATCTGCTCGATAAATTCGCCAAGGCTGGTTTGTAATTTCGTCGAACACCTTGCACGCATTTTGTAGCTTTGTGGTGTCTGTTGTGATTTTATGTTGATCGTGGGCTTTAATTGCGTGTTTTGTGATATATTGCTATTGCTACCATGGTTTTGCTTGCTGAATATTATTGTCTGACAATTTGAGAATCCCATATGATTACGTAGTTTTACTGTAGTCCCACTTGTTTGTACATTTATGCTATGTTTGGATCTTGGATTTTAGTGAGGATTGTAGTAAGAAAAAGGCTTCCCACTATACAAATGATGTAAAGTTGTGAGTTATGTTTAAGACATTTTATTGCTGTAGGATTTATACCAGTGTGTGTTTATGCAATTTTAAGAAGTTTACAGTAATGGGGATTGTGTAGTAATTTTTGCAGCATGATGGGTCCAAAGGGCTCAGGCATCGAGTAATATATTTCTCCTTGTTGATAATTGCCAATAAGTTCGATATGAATCAATAAAGAGGAACGACACTTTGTTTTGCAATTTTACATACCTGTTCCATTCTTTTGTACCAATATCTGTTTTGACTTTAGAGAATTGAGCAGAGACTCTCGATGAATCATTCAAGTTGATGAAAAGAATTGACAAGTTCGAGGAGAAACATTTTCGGCTAAGACCAGAGTATCGTGTGATTGGCGAGTTGATGAATAGGCTGAAAGTAGCTGAAGGTAAGGACAAATTCCTTCTTCAGGTAAAGTTGAATAGGGCATTGCGAATGGTGGAGTGGAAAGACGCTTTTGACCCTGATGATTCGTCCAATTACGGGGTCATTCAGAATGACGAGGTTGGGTCTGCCGTTGACCGTTTTGCGCAAGCTGAGTCGGAAGACGAGCAAGAAGTTTCACGAGGTGGAGGGGATGATGATGAGTTGGAGTTTGATGATCTTAAAGAAAAGGATAATGTACTGTTGGAAAAGCTTAACGAATTAGATAAACTACTTGAGCAGAAACTGGCGGAATTGGATCATACTTTTGGTAAGAAGGGGAGACTGCTAGAGGAGGAAATTAAAGATCTTGCAGAGGAGAGGAACGCGTTAACTGAGCAAAAGAGAAAGCCTCTCTATAGGAAAGTAAGTACATGCATTTGTCTCATGATTCTTGATATACTGATTGCAATTTTGTCGAGTTCTACTTATCGTCTTTTTATTTTGGATTGCTAAGTGGGCTATTACAGGATGAGATAGGTTCCGTTTCCGTTATTATCTGTTACCCTTTTTTTCAAGCGAATTTTTACAAGTTATGCTGACACGAGTAAAATTTTGCTTTGACATTTGTGTTATTGACACAATGCTCTTTCATATGGGCAACTATAAATGTATGCATGTGTATGTTTATGTGTGTGTCTATATGTGTATGTGTATGTATGGGCAACTACATATGTATGCATGTATATGTGTATGTGTGTGTCTATATATACAATTGTCATCATTTTTTCTTCTATTTCATGAATGGAATGCTAGTTCTTAAAATTATTTATTTACTTTCAAGTTAATTTGTTTAACACGTTCTGTCATCATTGGTCTCAGGGCTTTGATGTGAAGCTTATTGATGTCAACAGAACCTGTAAGGTTACAAAGGTAATATAGCCTCTTTATTTACTCTTCACCGGTGCATTATTATCTTTTTTTTTTTGTTTTTGTTCTGACAAATATTGACTGACAAATGAGACAGGGTGGACAAGTTATCAAGTACACTGCCATGCTTGCGTGCGGAAACTATCATGGCGTTGTCGGATTTGCTAAAGCAAAGGGTGAAGGAATTCCCGAGGCCCTTCAAAAGGTATAAAAAATGTGTTGGGATCTATTGTGACATACGCATACACGAGATGCTTACATGTTTGTTTGTATCTATTGCCGCAGGCATACGCGAAGTGCTTTCAGAATCTGCATTATGTAGAACGGCATGAAGAGCATACAATTGCACATGCAATTCAGACGTCGTATAAAAAGACCAAGGTTCCAACAAATCTCAAGTTGTATCTGTTTATTGATGTTAGAATTTGTAAGAAAATCTTTTATTTTTATTTCCTTGGATTAACCTGAAAATTTGATCTACTGTAGGTGTATCTTTGGCCAGCTTCTACTCAGACGGGGATGAAGGCTGGTAAAACTGCTCAAACAATTCTCAGTTTAGCTGGTTTCAA